TGCAGTACACATTGTTGTCCACTTTGGCTCGTCCCACTGAATCCGCCAAGCGAAGCAGAAGTCTGCCTCGAGATTCGACGCTTGAAGCGGTTCAAGGCTGCTGGCTTAGACGGACTTCCTCCGGAGCTATTCAAGTACGGCGGTGTGGCGAGCATTAACCAGCTGACCGCGCTGTTCGCAAAAATTTGGCATGAGGAGAAAGTGCCTTCCACTTGGGGCGAATCAGTTAGTGTCCCGATTTTCGAGAAATGCGCTCGCACCTCATGTGCAAATCATTGCAGGATTAGTCTTATTTCGGTTGCCTTCAAGCTATTGGCATCCATTCTGCTTCGCAGACTATCCCCAGTACGTGAATCATACTACCGCGAAGAACAAACTGGTTTCCGTCCCGACTGCGTGGATCAAATCTTCACGCTCCGCCAACTTTTCGAACATCGCCACATTTATCACAGGCCCACTATCGTTCCATTCCTAGACATACATGCCGCTTTTGACTCCGTTGATCGAGCGGCTTTATGGCGTTGCTTACTAAAGAACGGGGTTCCAGAGAAATATACCGCCATCTTACGAGCACTTTACCTTCATACGTCCGGCAGAGTGAGGGTCTATGGCAAGCTTTCCTCGCAATTCGCTGTCAATAGCGGTGTGCGACAGGGCTGCCCTGTCCTCATTCCTCTTCAGCTTCGCAGTCGAATGCCCTAGAAGATTTCCAACATTTTGGCCCAGAGCTTCTACCGGGTTAGTGTGCGACCGACTTAAATTATGCTGATGATATCGCCTTACTTAGTGACGATACTCAGGGTATGCAACTCATTCTGGATCGTTTGGCGGTTGAAGCATCTAAGTATGGCATGAGCTTCGCCCCATCGAAGTGTAAAGTACTGCTCAAGGATTGGCTTTCACCTGCTCGCGTGCTCATTCTCCAAGGTGCACAACTTGAACAGGTAGATAGTTTCGTCCACCTTTGGAGCTGTGTTTCTGCTGACGGCACTATCAGCAAAGAAGTTTCTCTTTGTATCGCTAAAGCTCGATCAGCATTTGTCAATCTGAGGCATTTGTGGCGTCGTCGCGACGTCTCATTCTCACTAAAGGGCCGCATTTACAGCGCATCAGTTCGCTCAGTATTGTTGTATGGCTGCGTCTTTTTTCTGCCTTCGATAACGATTGCTTAAGGAGGATTGCTCGTGTTTGGTGGCAACATCGAGTTACCAGTAATGACGTTCGACGTCTCAACTTGGGGAATGCGAGTATTCCCTTCAACAAATTGGTTTTGTGGTGCCAGTTGAGATAGTTCGGTCACGTCCTACGCATGGCACCTGAGGTCGCGTCGCGCCCTATTCGCTCGTCAAGGACCTGGCTAGAGGCCACCGCGTGGTGGCCAGCCTTCTACATGGCGGCAGGAAATGAAATCGCTGACGTCGTGTCTAGCAGCTGTTATATTCGTACGTCTTCCAGGATGGGGACCCAAAGATGAGGAGTGCCAATGGCTTAACACTCTTGGAGGCATAACCCGCAACCGGAATCAGCAGAAGAATTGAGTACAGTATTGTTTTGATTCACATGTTTAATACTACAAACATTGAAAATGACAAAAAACAGAAAAATCAGTGTCTGCATATGTTACGGTTGCGTAGATGCCTGATAAGATTGTCACTGGCACGGTTGGAGCACGCCTATGGTAACGGATTAGAACATTGGCCAATCGAACGGATTTGTGCTGACCTGACGGCGTTAGCTTTGCCCGGGGTACGCGCTGGTGAGACGGAGTTGAGCGAGCGCGAGAACGGTCCTAGCCGCACGTATTCGAGCAGACGCTGAGCCCTCGGAACTGACGTACACGAGAGGGGGTTACGGTAGACGCGCCCTAGTGACTTAGACGCGAACGCTGCCCGGCTAGCGACGCAGAGAAAATCACGTGACCGACCGACTTCCAACTAAGGCGAAGAGGAAGCAACACAGGTGGTCCTCTGAAGACTCCTTTACGACCAACAAAGGGCCAATCACAGCCAATGCTATAGGGAAAAATGCTACCACGACGGGGTGGTAGTTTTCAAAAGAACATTGGCAACAGGTGCGTAGTTGGACCGTGGCTCGGAGTGGCTGAACACTGCTACGTCGTGGGGAGGAATTGGACCCCGCTTTCCGCAGCCACTATGCCGGAGTTTCTAGCGCCTTTTGCTGGGATATTTGACGGGCCCACAACAGAAAAAACAAAGCAAAATGTTCCATTCTTCCTGCGGCATATTAGCTGAAGTGTGTTGCTCACATTCAACTACTATGCCACAAGGATTATGACGCGATGACTCTCTCTTATCCCCTGATCTCCATGGTTTTCTGTCTAGTTGTTAGACTGCTGAGATCACACCCACACACACAGGTGTGCAGCCATTGCCTTCTCCAGCTCAATACGTTTCGCCCAAGGACCGAGGGAGAGAATGTTAAATTTATACCGATTCACGGCGGGAATGCAATACATAGATTTACGAAAATATATGTACAGTTTGGTCCGCACCAATTTGTGATCAGTAAAACACTCAGCTGCACGCAGTACACGTGTCATGCGCACTTCACGCTGACGTACGATGATATAGTCGAGCAGGTGGGCGTGACCACTCCGTGGGTGCGTCCAAATTGCTATATCACTCGCACGCAGTGCAAAACAAGTGTTCGTGATCGTCAGTGGCACATAGTGAGAGCAGCCTGTCACCATTCGCATTCGCTGAACCAATGCCATGCACACCGATAACATCTGTCCACACCGATGCATCACGCCCAACGCGTGCGTTGAAATCACCCAGCAGAAATAGTCAGTCGCTCCTCGGCACAGACAGTATCACGGAGGATAGCTCAGTGTAGAATTGATCACGCGTGTCACCAGGATAACAAACGGTCGGACCGTACGTGGTCATAAAAGTGGCAAACTTACCTCTTCCGAGTCGTAGGCGAACAGACATCGGTAGCGTGCTAGTGACCGTTGATTCACCCACGAGCTGGCCATTTAGGTGATCAGATATTGCAAATCCGACCCCATGATCACGTGATGCTGAGGCGGCGTTGTCCACCCAGTAGCCAGCACCTGCTTCATGCAACTTACCTTGCTCAGCGAGCCGAGTTTCATTGAGCGCCGCAATATCGATGTGGTAGCGCGCTAGCTCCATCGCGACCAGCGCAGTGCGTCGCTCTGGGCGCTCGCTGGAGTTCCGGTCAAGTAGTGCGCGCACGTTCCAGCAGCCGATGCTGAGTGCTTTGCGCGCAGGCATACGATTGCATTGGTGGGCAATCGCATGTGAGGTGGTCGTTGTGCTGCGGAGGTGAGAATGCGGATTTTGAGCTGTTCTCCGAGGTGAGTGATTATTGTGCAGACGTTTCGTTGCCTGACTAGGCATCATCAGGGGCCTGGTTCGCAGTGCCTCGTAAGCGACTTCAATGTCCAAGTGCTTATTGATCGAGTTCTGCTTTGAAGGCCCGGCTTCAATGAACTCACGTGCTTGCCGGCTTTTAGCCCCTTCGAGGATACTGGCGTGCTCTAGATCGAAGTGGTGGTTCTCGGCATCCATATGCACTGACATCACGAAGTTCTGATAGTGGCGACGAATGGCTAGGCTGTGTTCGTGTGTCTGCACAATAATCACTCAGCTCGGAGAACAGCTCAAGATCCGCATCCACACCCCGAGCTACGGATACCCTCATTTATTTGAAAACAAACCATTTTTATCCATGTTTTCCACTTACAGTTTTTCGATGTTTTTATGGGAGGAGGGAATCACCACAGCAAGCAGAGTTACACGACCGCCACTGAGTTCGGTTTTGATCCATGACTTAAAAATTTCCTAACCAGCGGTACTCAGCGTCTTTGGGACCCCATGCAGGTAGTGGAGAAGAACCAACCGAAGCCCGCTGTTTGATCTTGCTTCTCCAAGTTGTAGGCTGTCCACCACACCGCCTCTTCCAACCATTCCCAGCGACCGCGAACAAAGCACGGCGCGGAAGACGCTGAAGGGGCATACGCAGTACGTGCCCAAGCCATCGCAGTTAGCTCAGCGAGACAAGCGCCTAGAGGGAGTGGCTATCTCCACCCAAGACACGCTGTTTGACTTCAATGTTGGTTACGTGGTGCAGCCACCACACACGGGCGAGGGACCGCAAGCAACGGTTCTCAAAGACAGGCAGTCGGCGCAGGTCATCAGTACGAGCAGGCCAAGTCTCGCAACGGTACAGCGCAGTAGGTCGCACTATAAATCCGCCCTTTGGTGGAAAGACGGATGTCATGGCGGCGCCATAAATGCCTCAACCTGGAGAAGGTGAGACGAGCTATGAAATGCGCAGTTATGCAGCTTCCCAGGTCGACAAAACTCTACTACTTCTAACGTTTCCCCGTCGATGGTGAGCGCAGGTTGGGGCGTATACCAGTCTTGAAAAAGCGCTCCGCACGAACGTCACTGAGGTCGGCTTCTGCATGAATGACACTGAAGTCGGTAGGGCATGATGATGGGCTGATCAGGTTGGAACACAAGCCATCAGCTAGGAGACCAGGACCGTAGCTAATGTGTGTTTTATCTCAGAGACCATGACAAGTGTTGAAATTGAAACCCAAGATTAGAAGCCGCGTCGACAGTGCTTCTGCCCAGTCACTGATATGTTGAAGAGAAAGGAACACCGCCGAGAAGCTTACGCGATATCGCAGATTTTGGAGGTAACAAAAGGCTAAACGCTGACATGTTAGCATACGAGCCCGAGATTGAGAGTTATAGGGATGCGTGATCCGACTGGTAAGAAAGAAGTTGTTACCCGCTGTCAAAAGAACGTAGTTCGTTATTGCAAGCTGAAAAACTAACGAACGTAAGGATGGTGCGACAAAATCGTCCTGCCATTTAACTAGTGGCGTTATCGTGTTTGGGAGTCAAGACAATCCGTATATAAGTTGGGAACTATTCGGCTGAAGTAACACAATTACAGTTCCTTGAGTCCACGAAAAAGCAGCGCAGAATTAAACAAGAATGGAATGGACAGAGGCATAGTATTTACATGACAAAAGGAACGAATACATATTAAAAATCCAAGTCGTGACATAGTAAAAAATAGTCTTCGGTGGAAAGAGAAATGCAAGGATATGGTGATTGGAGGTTTGTCCAATGTAAGAAAACACAATCGGGAGCTGAGTTCTAAAGAGGATGAGCAAAGAGGAGGAGTCAAGTTGGTCACGGAGACGGATTTGTCGTGCGTAGGGGAGAGTTTGCGAAAGAATAACAGACATCGTAAATAAACAAACTACATTGTGGTAAAGATGGGTACCAGCACGATGTTCAGTGCCAGAAAAAGGCAAAAACTGACAGAAAAAAGTGAATCGAATATAAAATAGACAAAAAAACGACGACACAGTACACGTATCAAAACTATGGGAAATTAGCCTCACACGCCCAGAACAGGATAGGCTTGCAACATGGCAGTGATATGTCACTGAGAAGTAAAAAGCCACCTTAAAATGCGGATAATCGCCGAGCGAATAAAAAACAAGGCGCACATTGGCATGATATGGTGTCATTAATTGAACCGATGGAGCAAAATGAATCAAAATGTATCAGCTTCTGGTCAAAGACCGAAGAGGCACGCGAGCTTACATGCTGGAAGGCTCGGTTAAAACTGTGCTCAAAGATTGACCGAGAGAACGAAATCTCGAGTCAAAGTGATTTTGAAACAATTAGCACAAACTGGAAAAGGACAGACGTCAATAAACGTTGTAAAACGAGGAATGGGTCAAGGTCACCTGGAATATCAAAAATAAGGACTGAAAGTGATGGGAGACCGCAAGTGCTCCGCACGAAACCACAAAGTTTGGGTACACGGCACAGCCATAGTGCACTGCGATAAGCCCCCCGGATACGTCACGAGGGGTGCAAAACCGAGAAGTAAGGTGGTGGTTGCGTACAATAAGGTGGCTAAGATACGAAGATCCATTTCCAACTAGCCAACAATCATTATGCAACTAACAGAGATACACAGTTAGCAGGAGGTGCGTAGCAGTGCACAGAACGCAACGCAGGACTGGATTAATTTTGCCGTCTAGAAATGCTCGAGATAAGAACCGGGGATGAGTAAATGCGTAGTTCATTTCAATGTTGGCTGAATTGGAAAATTAGTAAAAAATTAGCACAGAACTAATTGCATATCTTCTGTCAGATTCGACTGTTAGAATCGGCAGGCATGGATTTATGGAGTAAGGTGGTGGGAATGCGAGCGCCCTGCATTATACCTAACAATTGATCTAAAGCGGCACGGCGGCGCATTCCGGCCGCGCGGAGTTCATCAGCGATGTGTGTCATCATATCGGTCAGTCGGAGATGCACCGTCTCTTCATCACGCAAACGTTCTACAACGCCGGCCAATTCACTACCTGGTGGAAGTCTGTTTATCTGAGTTTGCATATCGTGGATTCCATGTGGATTCGTGGACGCTACCAGGTAGTTACAATTATCTGTCCCCGTGAGGCCGTTTAATAAGGTGGATGCCAACGACACAGACCGGACGGTACTACTGGAGTGAATTCCGTTGCCATTTGTGAGTCCCGTTGGAGGGGCAGGAGAATGAGAGTGCGATAAAACATTAAATTTGGGTGTGCTCGAGGCCGGTTTCGGTTGATCACGTTGGGCATTTTCTCGTTGCACCGAATCATCCCCTTGAGTCCTTTGCTGCTGACGCAACAAATCATTGAATAACTGGGATTGGACTAAGAGAGCAGCAGCAGCAGGGTTGAAAATAAACGGGAAACTAGTAGTTGGCACGTCGTTTTGCTTTGTTTCCACAGTGTATTCAGGGCTTTCAGTGTCTACAGCAAGGTTAGTGAATAGCACTGTGCCGGGAACAGAAGGATCAAGCAAATCTTTGTCATTTTTGTGTTTTCTAGAACACGGAGTGCCAGTGTGCAACCCTGGTGTGATACAGCGGGGTGTGGATGAGCCAGTTTGAGCAAAGCGAGGTGAATCCGGAGCGTGCAAAGCCGAAGGCACGTTTAATTTACTGCCGCCCAAGTTGTGCACACCAACAGGAGTGGCCGGTGCTGATTTGCCATTTCGGTCACCACTCACCTGCATTGTGTTGGCATCAATGTTGGGATAAATGACGAGAATTAAACGAGCAACGCGCCGAAGGATATCGGCGTTGCGAACCGCCTTCTGAGGATTATTCACTAGGAGGCGTACGTCACGGCGGAGATTTTTCCACTTGTTATAACAGTGTTCCATAGTGAATCCGAACGTCTCCATTTCGGCGCCAATCGTTTGCCAAACCTGTTTGTGCTTTTTCTGAATATTAAACTCATCCAGATGTCGTTCTACACAGTCGAGTAATGTTTGAACGTTCTGGTTAGACCAGTGGACTTTCTTTTCAGAAGAATCTGTGTGGTGCCGAGGACTATCAACATTTAAGGAGAATGGTTGAATTTGGCCATCATCGTCGTCATCTTCGGCAAGCATGGTGACATCCGGTGGGTGTTCATGTTCATCCTCCTGCATCCCATGGGGAACCTTGCAAGGCGTAAATTTCATCGATCTAATGTCGACTGAATCGTCCTCGTCTTCCTCACAGTCGTCCGGAAGGCTGGGGCTTGATTTCTCTGGACTCTTCGAGATAAAGGACATATGATCCATCATCTGAGAAAATAACAATAAAAGTATGTGTGCAAGGTTGGTTTCAAGCAAGCGATACCAAATTGTGCACAAGTGAAGAAGTGAGACCAGCTACTCCTCTATATTAATAAAAACTGCAGGACTTCCGATATCATTTCGAGAAAGGCACAGCAGAGTCACAAGTTGTGAGTGGAAAGAGAATTACAACCCTGACTAGTATGAGAAGGCTTACAACCGTAATTACTGAGTGCGCCACGCAACAAGGTAGGAAGAGTGGGGGACACATGACTGAAGTTGAGCAAGAACGCAAACAATGAACGGGCGTCGGATAAGAAAGACCGGAAGCCTTGGTTAGAGCGAAACAAATTTAAGTGCAAATGAGTGGCGTAAAGCAGAAATTAAGAGTACGTAGTGACCAAGGTAACCTTTACAAGTTGCACGGTAAGTGAGACAGTCACAATGGGCAAATGACAACCAATCTATTCCGCGAACGTAAGCAGCGGTACCGTAGATTAGTTGAAGGAAGTTTGTTGGTCCACTATCGTGTACAAATTAACGATGCTGATCCCGACTCCACGAATGACCGTATACTTAATACTGTATTATAGAGCAAGTAGAAATGAATTCTGTACAACTCTATGAAATATGGTGAAAAACGTTATAAAAATTGTCAGCCGTGAATATCGTTATCGTTTTCGTAACATCTAAAATATCTGACTCACCGTATTGCAGGACTCACAAATCTGTGCAGTCGTTCACTGAATCGAATAGTGGTAAAATATAAATCTAACAAAGTTTTAAACTGCTGCACAGATGTTGCTTCCATCACATGTTCAGGCAAACTGTTCCAAATATTTACCACTCTCAGAAGCACAACGGCTGGGGAACACGTTTCACATCCGGCACGACAAGTTTGTATCTGTGTCTGCGTGTGCTGCATAGATCTCGTAAATGCAGCATTGGCCTCAGCATAGCGAATTCACCGAGATGTAGAATACGGTAGGCAATAATGACGTCGACTCGCACCCAACGGTAGGACAAGGTGTAGAGTCCTAGTTTCTCGCACCGGTCTTCATACCCCAAGACACGTAAACTCGGGATGAGCCTGGTAGCAATGTGTTGGACCCGTTCGATCTCTTTTTGCCTCGCCTCGAGTAATCGGAATGTAGGCGGGCGAACCGCTGGTCTAATGATGGTTGGTCTAATGATGGAAGAGAAGAGGCGAGTGGCAACCTTTTCAGACCATGTGCAGAAGCTACGTTTGAGCGCCCAAAGCATGCGCAGTCCGTTATGATATAGCCTGTTCGTGTTGCCCAGAGACTTCAAATGGTAGCGCGAGAGTACACCTAGGTCCTTCAAGGAGGGTGTGGGATATAGCGATTGACCGTCAGGATCCTTCTCCAGGCTCATAAATACAGACTTGGCGAAACATGATCCACTGGTACTTCAATAGTCGAAGTGGAAGTGATAACGTTAAAGTAGGTGCAACAGCGCCTCACATTATTATTGAATATTCAGAGATGGCGGTGTTCCTTATGAACCATTTAGAAGAAACAAAACTTCTGATAGAGAATCGAAGACTTTCCATAGTAGCCTAAGCGTTCAAAAGGTTAGAGCCACTGTTTTGGCATCGTGCTCAATAGTTAAAGTGCTAGGGTCGATGGACTGTAAGTCCACTGCGATCATAATGAGCCGAAGCCTGGCTTGATGCAATGGCATGCACATCTCGATGATCTGTTAAGCAGCTCTAGACGGCACTTTCAAGTGTCTATGGAGCCAATCATAGAAGATGGGTCGGTGGGGGTGGGGTAAAAGCGTTCGGTTCTAACATTGCTTCCCTTGCTATAAAACGAAGTCATGAAATACAGTAGTGCAACGATTATAAGCATGACAAAGCAAACACGCAAAATACGAACGACACTACCAGTCTCTGCCGACAGAGATCATGGCATCTCAAAAATTTTTCCAATTTGTCTAAAAATAAACATTTCGTGGTCAAAAGATTGCAGACCGATATGACTGCAGTGACTGACTGAATTAAGGAACGTTCAGTTCAAAGTGAATTGCGTAACAGACTGAATCTGTGCATCGCAAGCCATTCCCACGACAACTACCTCAAAGTGACCCCAGGAGTTAGTCACAAACTATTTTGGCAAGCGTTTCATTGGACTATCTGGAGTCTCAAGCTTCTCAAACTTCTTGGCCCGGTGGGCTTCATTTTAGTGGAAAGTCGCACAGCGGACCCCCTGAAACATTGTTAACCACAGGACTAGACTGGGACGGTATGTCCAAGAAAATTTTATATATATATATATATATATATATATATATATATATATATATATATATATATGGTATAAACGTGCGTTATAAGGACAAAGAGCACAAAGTAAAAGGCGGAGAAAGAATTTTGTGTTTCTCACAAGCCGTTATGTCTTTTATTGTCACTTTTGTGATTACGGTATTGATCTGCAGAAACAATGCATAGACTCATGCAAACCTTCCATTGCCCCCGACTACGCGCCATGTTCCTAAGAGCCCCCAACCAGCGATGCTCCTCATCTTTGACTCCTCATGATCGAAAGTCAGCACCTTGACCTTTTGTCGTCACGTAGTAGGTTGACCACCGCTCGAGTTTACCCAATGCAGCTCTGTGCAAGCGCATTGAGCGCGCCATGGTAAATGCTCGCATGGCGTACGCAGGACGTGACCATGCCACCTTAGTTGGCGTACAGGTACTAGCTAGTCGAGAGGGAGGCCCAGTGTACTTAGAACACGACGACCAACATGGTCATTGCAAACGTGATGTTCCCACCACACACAAGCGTTGTCAAAGGCCAAAATCCGACACAAGTCATTTATGTGGAACGACCGGGACTCATTTCCGCACAACAGCATCGCGCGAACACAGGTATTGTGGAACCAGCCCCTTACCGAGAGTGCAACGTCACGACGCCACAGATCAGCGAAAGCTGATCGGGCTTTGACAATACGGATAGAAATCTCCTCTAATGGTGCAATCAGCAGAAACGTAGTTCCTAAGGGAAATGAAACTACCTACTTTTTCAAGTCGTGCACTTTCAAGGATCTGGACGGGAGCAGCTGGATACCAATCCTGGAGTAGGACTTTGCATGTCGAAGTGGCGTAGATGATGCCATACTTGGTAGCTTCAATCACCAAGCGGTTTAGAATGAGCTGCATATTCTGTGGGTCGTCGCCGTCCAAGTCAGTCACACGGTTGCCCGGAATGAGCTCTACGCCAGTGGTGGTCCAAAAGATCTGGAAAACCTTGATAAAATTTATATAAGGAGCTGCTGTCTCCTTCGCTAAAGCGCGCTGAAACCATCAAATTTCGCGATTACTACACAAGCCTTGTTTGAATCAGCTGGGATAACTCGGCGACGGTCAAACAATTCCAAAGGCCGGGCAGAAATCCAGCCTTTCAAAGGACTTCCAATGATTCCACAGTATGATTGACTGGAAGAAAGCGACGCTCTCTGCAAGAAACTCCAGTGATGTTCGAAATCCTTAGGTGCAGCACTAATGAACACCTTATAAGGAGGATTTATAGGCCAGATGGATGGATGGGTAAGCTAGCTTGTTGGTAGCCAGCGTACGGTGCTTTGTTTTCGTGAAACCACCAAAGCGCTTGAAGATGTCCGCACAAACCCCTGTAAGATTTGAGTCGAGGTAGATGGACAAAATCGTTCTGTGATCCCGTACACTGCACCGTCATCTGAAGCTGATTGCAATGTGATCAATTTGTGACCATGCATGCCTTGGCGAAGGGAGAAGCCAGGTGCCGGCATGTCCCCTCGAATGATCGTGAAAAACTGTATCAGCAGTACGCCGGTACGCAGTACCGATGCTTCGCTGCCGCGCAACCACCATCAGTTGCCGGTGGACTATGGGTGCTGCGAGTCGCAAAGTCCCTACGTAGGCTCGAACCCGCGTCGTCATATTACGAGACAAGATTGTTACCTTCAGGCTATGTGCCGGCGGAATGCTCGTGCTTGAGTCGGTTGTCCTCAACGTGAGAAGTATATTCCCATTATCAGAGCGACTCTCATCAGGGGCATGATGGCCACCAAGATGACGTTCGCATGGCAGCAGGCGAACGGCACGTGTATTTAAGTCTCCGGTGAGAGTGGTGACATCGGATTTTTCGGCTTTACTCAGAAGCTGATGGACTCCACGATAAAAGCAGTCCTTTACCGATGCACAGTTGAAGCCGGTGGGAGCGTAGCTGGAAATCACAAACAAAAGGCGTCTTTCTGTGTGATGCCTACTGATGCTGCATGAGGAATGAAGTCGAAGCACACATAACCAGCTGTCCATCGAGCAGCAAAGGCCACAGCTTTGTCACTTAATGCCATGTCAACACTAGCCTAGCCAGCTGCAGCAGTTTCTGTACTATATGACAAGTGCAGGGAATATTTGGTCTACAGAACAACAGAGGACGTCAACAAAACCACGGTGCTAGAGTCCCGTAATCGAGCCTATGACAGGCAACATAAACCAATAGAGAGGGACTCCAGGGTGCACGCTAAGCCGGCTTGTTGTCCGATCTGCATAAGGGTGAAGGCTGTCAGCCGAAATGGAGAACGATGTCGAAGCAGGGTCACTGGTCTGACTCATTGAATATGGTCGAGACTATCATCAGAGGCAGATACAAAATGATTGACGAAGGAAAGCTTGGCGTACAATGGAAGTGTGTAAGCCGTGAGGAGCGCAAGAGCGGAAAGTAAAGAAATAGTAGTAGCTATGGAACACATGGTTCTGTTTGTAGTTGAGCTCGGTTCATTCTTCTGCTTTCATTCTTTGCGCTTTACACGGATCTTCATACACTGGGATATACGTGTTCGTAGGACAGAAACACAGGTAAACAATTTATATCAAGTGAAACTGGCTTGCTCAGAGCGACAAGACACTTTGCCAGTGAGTTGCCACGGAACGAGCAGGAAGGCTAGTCGGAAAACTGGAGGCGCTTCAGACTAGCCTGTTCGGACAAACACAAGGGACTACTCGCAACGGAATAATTCAACTTACATGCCGGCCTGTGCCTCTGCCACTTTTTCGGCTGCATTTCGGTTATGTAATTTTTACATAAAACCTGAAGGAAATAACGTTGCATTTCACCAAGACGTCGAAAACACACAATTGATAATCCAATCGCGCACAATGGGAGCCGGTGACTAAGTTCGTAGGCCCTTCGTTTGGGTGCTTACCAAACAGGGGGCAATTTCCCCCACATTTTCAGCATCGGATTACTGGAATACAATGCTATACAAGAGAAAGAGACAGTGACTTTATTTAGTAGCGAGTCACATTCGCTACGTCACGGTGTTGTTAAGCAGACATGTGGCTTTTCATGGAGAGAACGATTGCTTGGAGAAAACCCACCAAGTCCTGGAACACTGCCGACGAACAGTCCGCTGGAACCGGGTAAACCCGAACCACCCAGCTGGCACCACGAGTTGTTCTGTAAGCCAGCTAATGCAGACCGTCAGATACGATTTACCAAATGGTTACTGCACGTTTGTCGTCGAACCATAAAATAAAAGGAACAAGCCCACAAATTTCTTTAACGGAATTATAGCACTTCGGTGAAATCCAGCGGATCACACTTTTAGGAATGTTGCTCTAGCCGTATGCATAACCCATCAACTGCAGATGGTGGCGGAATCCCACACCGTACCTTCTGACTAGCCAATAGATAGGCTCATGGTTCGAACAGAATGGTTTCACTAGCACCTGTTGGTGTGTTACTTTGTCCTAGCAAACCAGTTGCACACCGTTTTTTCATTTTTTTAGCGAGCAAGAGACGGTACACCATGGAGATAGTTGAGCTAAATAGTATCCACCACCTACGTAACCTCTGAGATGTTGAATCGTTTGCAATCCACACTTCAACCGTCGGGACCAGTTCTGAAAGTGACCCATAAAGTTTGATGACACTCTTGATAGAAAAATGTTGTCAACCGAGTCATCATGAGCTGTCTCCTTGACACTTTCACAGTTGAAAAAACAGCTGCACAATCGTGGTCCTGGGATTACTTAAAATGGTGTGACCGGAACGCGGCTGTGACATGTCCAACACATGGGTTGATAACTAGAAACTTTGGTCCAGTGTTGGGCTACTAACAAAAAGATTGATAACTAGAACTGATTTTCAGTGAGTTTGCTGTGCCCAGTTTTCAATGCTTACTTGCCTTCCAGTGAATATGACCGTACTTTTAGCGGCAAAAGGCACTCCTTCAGGAACGAACAGTCAATTCGGCAAAAGCAAATCCGTAGAAATGACAACACATTTGACGCGCAAAACTCCTCAATGCATATTGCTCGTGCATACTCACAAACAACAAGCTTTTACGGCCGCTGAAGTCCATCCTATGATCTAGTTACAAAAACGTCGAGGAACTCATCGTACCGCAATTTAACTTTAGCCAATCAGTGGAGCAGTGCAGATGGAGGGCTTAGCCTGCTGCGTCCAATAATCGAATACGACTGCCCGTCTAGCTCGTACATTTGGGTCCATCTGTTTTATCTGAATGGACACGCCCATCACACCCCGTGTGCGGCCATACTTCTCTGCAGATTCGGTACTAAATAGTTATACCCTTCTGCGCGTCCGTGACCAGACTGGAATTTCATCTTTCGGTTTCCTCTCGAGTTCATACAGCCATGGATTGTTAGCGGTTTATTCAGCTGAATCGATTTCAGCAGAGTCTGGGGAGCGAACGTGACTTCTTAAGCCAATAGAAAAATCTGCTAATCACTTTCTCGATTTTGAAGCATCCACAGACCACTCATGTGCTTTCGGTAAGAGATGCTATGTGAACGAAACGCTGCCCCATGCATAGTGTTAAGTCTAGTGGGTTGTGCTCTGTACTCAAACACTATTGGTCGTGTTAGGATCTACGGTGACTTGTCGGATATTTTTCCGAGAAGTGACGTGCACCAGGGTTTCCCAATTCTCCATTTGTGTTGAACTTCGTCGTGGACCCTATCATGGAGAGTTCCCTTAAGAAATATCACGATGCAGTTGAAATGCTGCTGCTAGTTCATCTTGTTTATGCGGACGACTATGTTTTGTTGTTAAACGATGTTGGGGTGGCCCAGTAAAACCCAGATAACCTCTCTAGAGTGTTCTCAATTTTTGGCAGGCGTTACACAGCTTCTAAGTGCAAGGTGTTGTTGTCGGACCACCAGCCACTTGATCAATTCACTAATGTTGACAGCTGCATTAACAACGATGGGCGCATAAGCATTGAAGTCAGTTTACGTATCAAAAAAAAGCTAGAACTGCCTTCAACCTACGACATATGTGCCGTTAGAAAGGTCGTGCTTCCAAGGCCACAATGACGGCCGTCCTACGCTATACCAGTAAGAAAACCCCTTCGGTCTGATGATCTGAGGCACATTCAAGTCTTTGGCAACCGCTGCCTGCGAAACGTTGCCGACCACAAGAAACATTTGTTATAGTTTGAAGGAACCGCCCATGAGCACGACATGGTAAATGCGGCTACACGTTTCGCGATTAACGAGTATGAACCGGGAAACTATTCCGTGTCTCCGAACCGCAAGCCGGATCACAGAAGAAAGATGCAAACTTCGGCAAGGATAACTGCGCTTTGATAAAATATAGGCCAACCGCGTCAAGACAACGCAGTACTTCACCTCATAACTGGAAAGATGAAAAAGATCCCTAAGACATTTTGGAAAAGCAGCAGCTTTAGTCTCGAAAATCTGTTAAATGAGAGCACAGAAAAGAAAGCGTTCCGTAAAACTTTCCAGAGATGAAAGTATCGTTAGAGAATACAGCAATAAACCCAAAGAAATGAGTAAAACGCCTAAAGGATAAAACAAATCCAAGTGTGATATGCCACATCAAATTTCAGTATATATATATATATATATATATATATATATATATATATATATGTATGCTGAGGATGATGTAGCATTCTTGATGCTTTTTCACCGCAGTTGGGCCAAACCAACTAAAACTTAAACTAGGTCTTTTTAAGCTGGACAAATTTCATTCCACTTTATTTGGTTTGTTCTGCCTACCCGAATAATCTATTAACTGGCCACATCGATTACGCTAATTGCGCTTATCTTCGGTAACTTTGTTGCGTTTGTAGCCTTTTTAAGTAACTCGTGGACATTCCTTACTTATTCCGGGTTCGTTGCTAACCTACTGACTTCATATGCTAATTTGGCGAAGAGTTATGCTACCGTATCCGTATGCATTATTCGCTTTATTTTATTTCATATCGTCGTTTGAAGTGATTGGCTGTTGCTTGATATCCCCGGTGTGGCTGCGCTTGATGTGCATGTTGACAAGGTGCCTACCTGTCTATTACCCACTGCCTCGTTCATACTGGCTCCAGGAGACAGTTGGTCGTTGCTGGACGGGACGGGGTGCACGGTCCTTGTGGCTGTGCTAGGCTCGAAGAGCGGTTCCATGCACTCAGTGTGAAGCGGACTACGGTCCAGTCATCGCCTTGTGTGCGCTTGATTCCCCAAATGCAGCGTGCTTGTGTTTGCCTGTGAAGGAATGTGGGCCGGCTCCGTTGATGGAATGTGGCTCCCATCCGCATGCCTCCCGGTCTTATTCCTTCGGGTTTACACTGGAAATGGAGTGTGTGGTTGGAGCTGTGGGTGGTGCAGTGCAAGCCACACATGGTACCTTTGTAGGCGCAGGCGTCCTGTGGCTGGCCACAGTGATAGGCAAATCCGAAACCGGATGCCGCCCACCATATATGTATATATATATATATGTATATATATATATATGTATATATATATATATCCAGTGTAAACCCGAAGGAATAAGACCGGGAGGCATGTGGATGGGAGCCACGTTTCATCAACGGAGCCGGCCCAAACTCCTTCACAGGCAAACACAACCACGCTGTATTTGGGGAATCAAGCGCACACAAGGCGGTGGCTGGACCGTAGTCCGCTCCCCACTGAGTGCATGGAACCACTCTTCGAGCCTAGCACGACCACAAGGACCGTGCACCCCGTCCCCTCCAGCAACGACCAACTGTCTCCTGGAGCCAGATGGACGAGGTAGTGGGTAATACAGGTAGGCACCTTGTCAACATGCACATCAAGCGCAGCCACACCTGGGATGTCAAACAACAGCCAATCATTCGAAATGCCGATATCGATTAAAGTAAATGCATATGACGACATAAATACTCGCTAAATGAGCATATAGAAGAAATTGGTTATAAGTGAATCCGTGATAAGTACAAAATGTCCGAAAGTTATTTAAAAAATACCACGCGATAAAATTACGCAAGTTTACCACAATTTGCGTGAGCGACGTGTGCAGGTAAGGAGAAGATTATCAAGTACGCATAACAAACCAAATAACATGTAATGAATTTTATCCACATTAAAAAGACCTAGTTTAAGCGTAAGTTGGCTTAGCCCAACTGCGGTGAAGAAGCATCATGAATGTAACATACATATATATGTATGCATGACTGTGCCGAAATTGTTAGAAGTCCTTGCAACGAATTGTGGCGCTACTTCCGAAGCGAAAATCGGAAAGTTCAACTTTTTAAACCAATCTATTAAGGTTCCGTTTCCATAGGTATGGATAGTATCGCTTGGTTTCAATTAATTATTGTTAAAATAACTGCTGCTTGTACTTTGTGTCAATCGCATAGCGTTCTATTATTAACCGTAGTTGCTGTTCCACCTATGTAGTGATTGCGCTTTCCGTATAGTTCGTCAACTGTGTTACCTTAAAAGGGAAGACGCCGCTCCTTATACTTGCTGCAGTACCAAGAGTTGTGGTCATTTTAGTGAACGCTCACATCAAAGAAATAAAACAAATCAATGTTCGAAAATTAACTTTCAATCGGATATGGGGAAAGCTAGAAGTTAACGCCGCCCCCATATTCGTCGCACTGTTTCTGCTTTCGGACTACCCCGTCCAGTAAGTCTGCTTTTGTCCTGTTCTCCTACTGTTTTCAGCTGTTATCATTTGATAGCTTGAGTCAAGGTAACTTTGTCCACTGCATATACACACACTGAGCTTATTTGATCAGGCAATTTGGACCGAATCATCTGCTTGTGGTTTCTAGGATTGAGTCCAAGACTTTCTTTCATGGATTTTAAGAGCACTTCTAACAGTATTGTAGAGCATGTATAATGTATACTTCAGATTAAAATAACGGGCTATTGTCAGTCATTCGGGGTCTACGGGCTAGAAGGCTATGCTGCGCATTCGCAGTCAGTGTCGTTCTAATTTTGGTACATGTCCCTAAAACGCCCGCAGAAGGGGCACTAGTCCATCTCAAATATGTTGGATCTTTAAATGATTGGGTTGTGTGCATGCCATCGTAACTCACTCAGTTACGCTGGGTGGGGTTTTCTGGATTTCCAAGACATACATTTGATAACCAGTTGAATTTTTACGAGCTACATAAAACTTGGTACCAACATCTTCCTCATGGAAGACTGAAGAAATAGAGAGGACTCTCACTCATCAACGCCCAACTTTTTGGGACAACCGTCTAAGAGTGGTAAGCCCAGCTTCACGGATGTTAGACGTCGGCGTTTGTGATCGAACTTGACGATGGAAGAGCATCACTGTTACTCAGTGATTGGTTGCCATCCACCTCATTCCAAACAGACCGCACAGTGCAAATTTGCATACTATCTGTCATGATGTACTTCGATTACATACATGTGACATGCCAGGATTGATAGCTAACCAAATTTTTATTTGCCTCAGACTGAGTGTGATCAGCCTCAGATGAATCCGCCGAAGCCTCAAAAGCGCGCTTCGGAAGAAACTAACTTCACTCTTCACAGTTTTGTCGGTCAGGCCTTTGTGTGAAAGCTTAGGATGAGGTCGCTGAGGTAGAGTTCAATATATCTCCGAATCTTGGGGATCGGATCATCGATGCAAGGATCACACAATAAAATCCTCGGGCATATCACATATCCAGGAATCGAAACCCATGGTGACATCAGTTCTCACTTTTCGTCCGAGGTTTCCTATTCTCTCCCCAATTTAACCTGCAGACGATCGCCATGGACTTCGCAACTAATTCCAACTGCAACTCCAATTGCGACACAGTCGCAATCAGGATCGTGATTCACAACGAAGTGAATGTCAGTCAATTTGATCGCTGGGACCGAGAGTGATTAGGGAGCCATAGGCCGGACGGCAGCTGTGGGCCATCGCACGCTGAGTATAAAGAATAGCGGTCAAGTAGATGGTGTGAATAGACATAAGCTTGGACATATCCTATCGTCGTGAAGAGCTTCTGTGGATGAAATAGAAAGTTTATGATGGACCAATTAGGGCTTAAACTGTAAAAATGAAGAAAGAATTGAGATGCCAGATTGGGGCATTAAGTATTCAGGACGCTGTAACGGAAAATTCAATAGCAAGCTAGCAGTGACGTACAAGGAAGGTAGAACACAGCAGCCGATCAAAAGAGCACGTATCGTAAGTGTGGGAAACCTCAAGAGGGCATGGTTATCGTCTGTTTGACTTTTGAAAGGAATAAATGCCTTTGAAAAAAGCTCCGAGGCAGGGCGCTAACCCTCTTCGACCAATCATTGGCCAGTTAAACTGACTCATTTCCCGTCGGTTGTGACAGCAAAAAGGACAGAAGAGCTTTCAGTGCTGTTTCGTAACCACCAACGTGCGATGAATTAGTGCTAGGAAATAGTTGAACGGGTACGTTTGATAGCTGACTACAGCGGACTTAGAGCAGCACGTGTGGTCGACGATGGCATCAGCAGTACGCCAGTGGACCGCACCGACGCTTCGCTGCCACGCGACCACCGTTAGTCACGTGCGAGGGCTAGGGAGACTGCGAAATCACTCGCAACTACGCAGATTCGGACTGGCGACCTCTGGGCAACAACGCAGAGGCCTCATTCCAACGACCAACAAGCGTTGGTATACAATGAGGCTCGGTTCAATGTACCATTGACGTCTCCGTAGCTGTCTCAATGCACCCATCCACTGCTTATGCGATGCTCGCACTGTGCACAGGACTTTCGAAGATACAGGCGGACGAACGCAATTCAAGACAGACCAAGAAGAAAAGCACACAAGTAAATACCATCCGAAACTCGAAAGCAGATCTTAGACACCTCATCAGGGAAAACTGGAGTAAAGAACAGGGAGCCTTAGCACTTGGGGTGAATCGGTTTAAAGTACTGAGAAAAGGAGGTTTCGGAGCGGCCCTGTCTACCAACACTGCTCCCCTCCCCCACAACCGGTTTCGTCCTCGTTTTGAGCTCACTAGGTAGAGATGGCCGGAACTCGGGACTTAATGGTTAACGACTGACGCTTAGATCACTAGGTCACTGAGATGCGTGAGTATTGCAAAATAACACTGTCGGCGATGAAATCACTGATGAGTAAAGTAGTCAAAACTCACTTATCACCAATTGCGTCAAATTCGTGGACCGAACCCCAAAGTTTGCTTCTCGGAAAAAGTGAATCTATGACTTATTATATCGCCTCGTTTCCGAAGATAAACATGACTGGAAAAGTGGGAAAAGTGCGGTTAGGTGTATCGGCAGACTCATTTGTCAAACATACACATAGTGATGCAGAAACAAGGAAGTAGTGTTTATCCAAAACGGGTGGGCGGCCCAGTTGATCAACAATGATTGGAGCCCCGAAATGCGGTAGGCGCCGTTGCCTTAACTTACGTGAATATTCGGAAAGAGGCAGTGATAGAAAAATCGTGAAAAAATAGGAAAGTAGTAAAGCGTTATAAACGTTAGACAGGAAAGCTAAGTCAGGAACATTAAACCAAATAAAAGAGCGACACGGACTTTGCTACAGTGCAGTGCCAAAGATGATCTATAACAACTGTAACGACGGAACAACTTAAATCGTTACATCGCACGTATTGTATATAAATATTCCTGTTTCCAGCTATATATGAGAGGCTTCTCTACCCTACTGCACGCCACTCAACTACGCACTGATGTCACATCGACTGGTGACGAAAAGTTTGTAACAAAATTGCCAAGCTCAGCGAACCGCCATCTGAACAATCTGAGCTACCAGACTTCAATTCAACAGCCAACCAATTCGGGCGTACAAGACTACAACAAGCTCGTTGTTGGGAAACCCTTGCTTGCCGACAAGCTTGCACACGCGAACAGTCTACTTCCTTCATGAATGCCCGAGAAGTAACGTACCTCCAGCGAGTACAAACTTCAGACCGGCGCTAAACCATAAAGCCGCCTGGAACTTAGCAAGACAATACGGGGGACGCATGGTCAAACTGATGATAACGGATGCCCAAAACCGCCTACACAGATATGAGAAAGTCATAATCGACAACAGAACCAATTGCCTCAGTACTATTGATCCACAGCTACGAACAGCGCTGGAATCCGCAATTGAAAGTCGAGTCAAAAGCACAAAGAACCGACGCAAGATTGCATTGAACATAAAGTTAGAAAAACTGACTAAGAGAAATGACTGCACTAGTAGTGAAGGATGAATAAAAACCTTTCACGCCGCCACCTCACTGCAACTGGAAAGGATGTCTTGATTAAGAGGTTCAACTTCAATATCAAAGATGCTTGCCCCAGAGACTAGTTGGCTAGCCTAGAGCACGCATTGAAATCAAATGGACTGTCGGAGGAGTACCAGCAACAGACATGGCAGACAGTTGTCCCAGGGCTAACTGGGAATAAAGTCACTCAGGCTCTAGAAAAGGAGGAACAGGATGCACTTAGACGTCTTAGATGAGAACATTGTAATCCTACCAGCGGACAAACGGCGCATGACAGTGATAATGGACAAACAGGAGTATAGTAACGAAACCAAAGAACTGCTATCCGACACAACTACATATCGCCAGCTCGATCAAGATCCAAGTTCAAAACTGGTCAACCAGATCAACGCAACGCTGAGAAAATTACAAACAAAGAACGAGCTCACCGCCACGGAGAGATAAGAATGAAAGTTGACGATACAAATATTGCACTGTTCTATGGACTACTAGAAGTACCCAAGGATGGAGTCTCACTACGACCAATCGTCTCGCTCCCCGGAACTCCATCAGGCACTCTCACCAACACTCCTCTACGCTACTGCACGCCACTCAACTACGCACCTCGATTGGTGACGAAACGGTTGTAACAAAATTGCCAAGCTCAGCGAACAGTTCAACCGTCATGCTGTAGGTCAATATGACATCGAATCGCACCAGACGATAGGAGAAGGGTGTAGAGTCCTCGTTTAACCGTCCAGCTTACGTAGGTCAAAAACTGAAATCTAGGGATTAGTCTGGCAGCGAAGCGCTGGACCCGTTCGATTTCGCCTCTAGTGATCGGACATTAGGTGGACAAGCCGCACACAGGTGTTAGTCATATGATGGAAGAGTAGAGGCAAGTGACACTCTTCTCAGACCAGAAGCAGAAGCTGTGTTTGAGCGCCCAAAGCAAACGCAGTCCGCTTCCGTACAGTCTGTTCGTGGTGTGCGCGTACTTCAAATCGTGGCGCAAGAGCACACTTAGGTCCTTCACAAAAAGTACCGGATGTAGCAGTTGGTTGTCACCACTCTTCACTAGGCTCATGAATACAGACTTGATTGGGTTGACCGGAAAGCAGACTACTGCAGACTATATGAAAATGCGGTTGAGGTCTTGCTGAAATCAGAATTGCCTATCGCTCCCCACATCTTCAGGTCGTTGCAAACATGGCCCACGGCGACCGAAAAAAGAGGTTAATCGCTGAGGTGGATTAGGAACAGAGTAAGCCCCAGCAACGTGCCTTGATGTACGCCACCTGTAGAGGGATACCAATCGGTCGGATGACCGTCGACTTGTAACTTCGACTTCCATACAACGAGGAACTCCCAGATCCACCAAGATCGCATACTCAGCTTTTGAAAGAGGACCCATGATTCACCTAACAAAACGCTTTACTGAAACCAATATAGATCACGTTGATAGACTTCCCCGATTCATTGTCTGCAACAATGCATGTCTAGTCACGAGCAATTTATAAATGCATTAGTGGCCTAGCATGAAACCGTGCTGCACGGGCGTCAGATATTTTGACCGGAACAGCTGTAGCAGATGCATCGTCACGACTTTGTCAGCAACATGGGTGCCAGGCAAATTGGCCCATTGTTATCCACTCTGCTGGGGTCACCGTCTTTCGGAACGGGCATTACTACTGAGCATTCCCAATCGCTGGACAATGAATCTATAGTAACATTATCATATACAGACACATCAGAACGTGAATATTTGTTGAACAAATACTAGGAGGTTATTTTAGCTAGTCTGCTGATATTCACGACCAGCTATATCATCATATCATCATCATACACGTTAGCAAGAGGTGGGGAACACCTCAGCTATTGTGCCGCAATAGACAGGAAAAAGGAGAGAAAAAAAGAATTCAACTGGGGCAAGCCGCTGAGCTACCGGTGACGGATGGGCATCGTTCCGGTAAGCAACCAGCTGGCTACTATGCATCAAAAAAATTACTATGCAAAATTATATAAGGTTAAATAATGAGATCGTGGTTGGAGGAGGAGGCTAAAAGGGATAGGGTGGGACAAAGAAACTCACAGCACGAACGCCACTGAGGTCGGCTCCTTGCCATAACAGCAAGTGTGTCCAACCAAACGTGTTCATCGTCTTTCGGACCCCAACCAGGGAACCGAGACGCTCCAACCAAGGCCAGCTCAGAAGTGAGGGCCTTGATTCCTCTGGACCAAGTCATCGCTTGGCCACGCTTCCTCTTCTTCCATCCACATTCCCGGCGAGAAAACAACGCACGTCGCGGGAGTCGGTGGGCTGGCATGCGTGACACGTGGCCCAGCCATCGGAGCCTGATGCGTGAAATAACGGTGCTAAGCAGTTCAGTTCCTTTTCCTGTGCCATAAACAAGGCGTCGAACACGCTCGTTGCTCACGCGGTGTTCCCACCAGATGTGACCTAAATTACGAAGGCGCCGGTGGTCGAACGAAACTAGCCTCTTCAGGTCCGCCGCTTTAAGCGGCCAGGTTTCACAACCGTACAGTACGGTCGAACGGACTACTGCATTGTACACTCTACCCTTCAGGGCAAGAGTGATGTCGCGCCGGCGCGACAAATGGCGAAGGTTAGCAAAAGCGCCCCGAGCTTTTGCTATACGGTTCGTGATCTCATCTTCAATCCCACGGGCGCTGATACAACTTCCCAGGTAGTTGAATTTTTGAACGACTTCTAGCTGATCCCCACCAACGGTCAGCGTAGGGGGCGGTCCAGACCAATCTTGGAGAAACGCTTTGCACTTCGATGGTGCAAAGCAAAGCCCGAAGCGGCTGACAGCCAGTGCTAATCTGTCCAGTGCCGCTTGGCACGTTTGTGAGCTGTCACAGATTAGGGCAATATCATCAGCATACTCTAAGTCAAGAAGTCGTTCTCCACACCTTCTAAGTCGTGTCCTGTAAACGCGATTTCCATGACTTCGTCAATAGCGAAATTGAAGAGGAAAGGTGACAGCGGGCATCCTTGTCTCACGCCGCTGGAGATATTAGAGGGCGACGATAACTTGCCGTAAGCCCTCCCTCTGCCCGAGCTACGAGCATACAATGCTCGGATAATATTCACATATTTCTCGGGCACACCTCTCCTGAGCAGACAGTCCCAAAGTGCATGTCTATCCACCGAATCGAATGCATCTTTGATATCGAGGAACACGACAATGGTGGGCCGCAAATATATGTGACGGTGCTCCAACAACTGACTCAAGCTGAAGATATGGTCAATACAGCCACGACCTCGACGAAATCCAGATTGCTCTTCACGAATCTGGCTTTCACGAGTGCCAGTCAGTCTGTGAAGGATGACAGAGGCAAGCAATTTGGAGGCGATGGAGATCAGACTGATTCCTTTATGGCTGCCGCATTCCGATCGTGAGCCTCCTTTGAAAATTGGTACTATGACGGAGCGGCTCCAATCGGTTGGGACAGTCTCCTGCTCCCACAGTTTCACTAGTAACTAGTGTGAATCATCCACAAGAGCAGGTCCCCCGAATTTGAAGAGGGCTGGAGGAAGATCATCTGGTCCTGCGAATTTGTTCAACTTCAACAGTCCGATCTCACATTCGACTTCTGAGCGAGAGGATGGATCCAAAGGGACAGCCCACGGAGTGGGGCGATCACTGGTCGGCGAGAAATCTAACAATTCCGACCGATTAAATTGCCTTTCAAAGTGCTCAGCCCAACGTTCCAAGCGTTTCGATAAGTTGTGGATAGGCTATCCACTGTCGTCACGTATATTTTCACTAACACCAGGTCTCCTGCTGCCCGTTTCACGTATCAGACGAAATAACTCAAGATGGTTACCAAGGGCAGCGGCCATTTCCATCTCTGTTGCACGATTAGACCACCAGGATTCGCGGTCTCTCTTCAGGCTAGCACGGAGTTTTGCCCGGAGCTCTTTGCGAGTTTCATTGTGTTCGCTTCCAGCCGGAATATGCCGGCGAGCATCTATAAGTTCCAGACACTGCGAATAGACCCA